GGGAGAACAAACCTAGGGACCATCCCGGCATACGCCTTAAGCGATTGAGTAAACCCAGAAAAACCTCAATCAGGATGGCGGCTTAGGGCCGAACATTAATAGTACTGAGTAAGTTGAGTAAGAGTAAGAAAAGAAGAGACGTTCAGGGGAAGGGGTCTAAAATTAAAAATGATACAATTTGTGAGGAAGAGGGAAGAGAAAAGAAGCGAAGAAAAGGACGAAGAAGAAGTAGGCGAAAAAAGTGAAGTTATTTGAGGAACGTTAGAGAAAGCTACGTTTAGTTTACGGTAGCTCTTTACATAAATATACAATAATTTTAACACCAAAGAAGCACAATACACTGTAAGCAAATAACAACAGTAATTTTAAACACAATACTGGAAGTACTAAGGAACAATACAAAGAGTGCTGGTATCTTAACATCAATTTTGTTTATGCCAATATATTGTAGTAAATATCCTGATGGTACAAAGATAGCTACAAGTATATTTTATCTGGAACGTCACTAATACTTTTGTATATTTTAATAACAATTTCATTATGGTACACAGAAAAGTAATGATGCTCATAATTCAGATGTGAGAGGGAATGAAAGATGAGGATAGAGCAATGAGGTATGGGGTAGAATATTGAGAATAAAGAGGGGGAAATATAAGGTTTTTAACGGGGGCGGTGACCGGGCGCTTGGAAGTGGGAGAAGTCTGGAGATTGAAGAAGACGTTGACGCCGTTCTATATGCCGTTCTACTGACGTATATTGCCTGCTTGTTTACTTAATGCTCCGTTGACTTAAAATGAGTTTCACGGCGAGAATATAAAATAGCAAAATGAACCTGTTACTGAGCTGTCTCTCTTTTGAAATGACGGATTCACGGAAATCATCTATGCCGTGTTAAGAAAACACGAAAGCTGCTAGACGGATGCAATTTTTTCCTTATTCTCACTAATTGGCACGGAAGGTAGAGTTTTGTAACTGAAAAAACAAATTAGACATTCTGTTTCTCAGGTTATTTAAAACTTGCATCCTTAATAAAATCTAAAATTTCCCACACATCACTCTCGCATATTAGTCTGTTCTGCAAAATTTTTTAAATCACTTTTTTTCATAAACCAAACCTATTTGGACTCAGGAGAGAATTCTAACTCTGTATTAAGCCTTCATCTAAGCCCATCCACGTTTAAAGAATATATTGTAAAACGTGTAAGTACATACATTATTAAAAACCTGAGATCAATTCACGTACCACGGATTCCTTTGTCTCACAATGAAGTTGCTACTTTTAAAACAATATTTTTTCATCTTAAACCGCAAAAGAATTACATTCATCACAAGGCACTATTAAACCTGCATTTGCATGAGAATTCTCTTTTTAAAAAAATTTAATTGCCTATTATAAATAAGAATATGTGCATATTTTCATAAATATAAAATCAATCTTTCCAAAATAGTCTAATGAAATAATTTTGACAACAAATAATATTTGTTGTCAAAATATTTTTAATCTTACACTGAGTAAACTTTCTAAATTCAAAGTGAGTAGGTCGAGATTCTGCGCGCAACTATTTGCATCTACTTACGTCATTCGTAAATTAAATTCAAGTAACTAATTATTCCGCGTGCAACTACTCACGTGATCCGTAAATGTAGTCCATGTTACATCCCGGGAGGTGGTGATGTCCCGCCCTCATTGGAATGTGATATCTAGCGCCAGCCCACACATCGGGTTGCGAGATTTCATGTTCCAGGTATCTATCCATCGGGGCACTGTCCCAGTCAGGACAAGCTCTCGCATGCTTTCAATTGGTCTCTCGCCATTTGTAATGGTCATATCACCGAAAATGTGGGATGTGTGTTTGTGTATGTGTGAAGACGAGAGGAGGGATGAGGAAGGAATGATCGCGCACGGCCTGTCGGCCAGTTGTTTGGGTAACTGCTCGAGAATTAGCCTGGTACTGACAGGAGAAACTACCGATCAGAGCAGCTCTCCGTTAGAATTCTCCGCCAGACAACGGTTGAATTCAATCCAGGTATTTCGCTAGTGTCAAAAATAGGGATTCGAGTCCGAGGACCTCAGAGTCACGATGCTGCAGTCGCATGGATGGCACAAGGCAACGATGCGGCAAAGATGTTGGCATCGAGCCATCACATTCGGCAAAATTCCGTTCAAATCATTTGCCTCTTTGCAGAACGTTCAGTAATACTAACATTAACTAGAAAAAATATATTGCGTAGTACCAATAATACCCACAGATACTTATATATTTGAGCGTAAAGAATCCCGGAGTGAATAGACGTAGGTACTATAGCGGTAATATACCAGTAGAAATGAAAAGATTTGCTCTTCGAATGTCAGCAACTGATTTGTTTTCCGTGGAATCATAACAGAAAATAATCGCAGAGCACGCTTTTCTCACTACCGGAAGTACAAATCAATTTAGATGGAAGTGTCCATTAAGCCTTGGTGCGAACACCCAAATAGCTACGGAGCACAAGACCCGCAGTAATTCCTGCGCCCACGCCCGACAGCGAAAGGAAGCCCTAAGTGACAGCTGCCCAGGAACTTTACAAGGGCAAAGCGACAAATGGCGAGGACAAAGGTCACAACTGGGACACCGTCGAAAGCTGGAGAGCCTGTCATGAATGCGCGGCACCAGCCAGGAAACAACGCCCCTCCTGAAAAGGGATTAAAGCTGACTATTGGGGCATCTCGACGAAATGCGAAATGGTATTGTTATTGGAGACGGACGAACATGTGTAGTATTATATGCGCACGTTTTCATGAGCCCTCATTTTGCTATATGCGAGAGGAGTGGGTTTTTTATTATTTTGCCAATTGCATCAAGTTTGTAGCTCGTTTTTCGATGCAAAATAGTTCCTATTACATAGGAGGGAATATTAATGTTATAAGATTTTGCCAATAACGCTCCTTGCTATCATTTATTATTAATTCAACTAACGTTAGTAAAGGAATGGGGATAGATATTTCGAGGCTCAAGAAAACGTGCACGTGTAAGACAGTATTCTACAATGTATTAAAATGATTATACATTTTATAAGCCCAAAAGCATTTGATGACATCACAGCTGGAAATTTTAGATTTCAAATATGCCTGATTAACATGCCAGTAAACTATTGAAAATCATCCATTTAAACGGACAAACGTATTTAAACGCATACAACTTATTTAGATAATGTCTTATCAAGTTTTCTTGAAAACGTGAAAGTTTTGATTGAAAATGAGCTTCAACTTGCGTATTTTCAGAAACGCTCTAATGGCTTGTTTTTAAAAACAGCTACAAGTTTTTCCAATAGAAATGTACTTTACTTACAGCAGCAAGTTTTATCCTTCTACAATGTTCTTAAAGTAGTTTTTTTTTAATTCTACTATAAGGCAAAAAATTGAGAAAACGTGAAAAAAAAGTATTTAATGTCAATAGATGGCAGCAGGGAAGAGGGTGGGACAAAACCGAAAAGGCAGCCCAGATTAAAGAGATTAGAACGTTAAGTAGTACGAAAAAGTCTGTGCTATTGTGTAATACCTCGTTGTTTTAACTTCCCTCAAATGAAAGATGACTTTCGTACGATTTCTAAGTTACAATCGACGCAAACCCACATAAATGTGTTCCTACTTTGTATAAAATTACATTATATATTATAGTAATGAATATGTATATTATACTAAATGTGCAAAAATATATTTAAGACCATTTTTTTAATCCTCCGGCGTATACCAAATTAGCAGCACATGTTACTAACGCACATAACTCGGAAACTGTGTAACTCAGGCTTAAGATCCTGCTTCGTGCTCAAGGGTGCCCAAGTTTCTATGTTTCTGAGGTTGTCATCTTTAATATGAAACCCTTTTGGACCTCAGCTCTTCTGGATGCTCCCACTCCCTTAAACAGATAGACAAATCGTGCAATATCTCTAAATCTATGTAGAATGAATCTCACTCTTTGATATTCTCTGCAATTTAAACACGCAGGTCCAAGTATTTTTGTTTGTTAAAAACCGCTTAGCAATATTTGACTATTTACCCACGCATTATAGGCGCTTACAATGTCTCAAATCAGGGTCTCACCAAAGCTGGATCAAACACGAAGCTACTTTCACTTCAAAAATAGTGATTTACAAAGTGCAGAATGTTCGCTAGGGTCTAGCTAGTAATACATATAAACTGAAAAAAAATGTATAATAGGAAAAGACGATAAGAGTTCTTTTCTAAATTAAAATCAATACATTCCCATCGTTTCTCACTTTTTCAAAATTTCATAATTGTTCACGAGATAATAGGGACTCAACAATTTGTTGTGATTTATTTTCATCATTTCTTGTTTCCTTCTTCTCCTTCTTAAATATCTGCCCTGAGAACAGTGTAGATGAGAGTCTGTAGATAACAAAACGCTAGATTATTCAAATCTAGTACGTCAGTTTCTCGTGTTGCCCATTATCTGTGCTTTACTCGTTGCTGGTCAACGCAAAAAGCGAGTTCTTACGGCGTTTATGGGCCCCGCGCTTTCAGGTTCCATGGAGTTGAACAAAGTACATAATGAAGGTAAAATCTTGAACTCAGTTGATGGCATTTTTGAAGAAAAGCAAACTTCAAGCATGGAACAAAAGAAAGTAATAGGTTGGAAATGAAGAGAAAATAACTTTTGTCGGATTTGTAAGCATGGGGGGGAAGTTTTAAACAGACAAAAACATTACAGTCATGTTTAAAATAAAATAAAATTGGAGCGAAGGAGCAGAAAATGAAATTTAATTAAAAATCTCAGATATCTCCTTGTTTTGTCTTGTGTTATTTCACGACGGTTCGTGTATAAGGAATGCAGGATTGCACTCTAGATTCATGCATAAAAAGTCCTTCTCATGCCATAGTAAATGCCCTTCTCATGCCAAAGACGGTGTAAATTGATACGTGCGTATACCCCCCACCCAGTTTTGTCCAACTAAGCTCACGTATTTGCCTGCTCCATTAATGGTGTTCTCCTCTGTTCCAGTGGCAGTGGTGGTGGCGTTCTTCATTTGCTGGGCGCCATTCCACGCTCAACGCCTCGTCGCCATCTACGGCACCAAGGAAAGGAACCAACCTTCACATCCCACAATGCTCACCATCTACGCCATCATGACGTACATCTCTGGCATCCTGTATTATGTATCCACCACCATCAACCCCATCTTGTACCAGATCATGTCGCTCAAGTTCAGAGAAGCTTTCAAGGTAAAACGCATGAACTCAAGGTTACTTGTCGAATAAGCACGAACAAAGTCCATGCTTATTGGATTCGGTGTAATGGGATGTAATAAATAGATGAAATGCAAATATTGGGATACATTTTCATTTTTCTAGTCTGATCACTTCGACACGTTTTTCGCAAGAAGAATTCAATTACTATTATTGTTAAATTTAATGATAATTTGTTTTTAATTTAAAACTGTTTCAAATAACTTTTTTTAAATCGATGTTCGTTAGCGAATGTCGCAATCACTTTTGTAATGAGCACACACGAGTAAGCTAGACCAAGAAAACGTCTAAGTCATAATAACTATCGTACATCGTGTTTAAGTTAAGAGAACATTTTTTCGACTGTTCCCAAAAATTGCAATAAAATACATGCCACATATTACCGCTGAACTCGAAAGACGCTATCATGATTTTTTACATTATAAGAGCGTATACCGTTTGAAAAACAGCGAAAGTCACAAGCGTGTTAGTTTTATTCGTTTGTGCCATATGTTTTATTCCAACGTCACAAATATTTATTTCGTTTTTCATTAAGAATTTGGGCATGTAATTACAATACCTAGTATTTATATTGCCGCTTTTTCGTAACTTTCGTGCAACTAATTTGATTTCCATGAAATCCACACAAAAATTTGTTCTTTTCTAAATAAAAAAATATTTCAAATATTTAACTGCGTAATACGGAAAATCGCCATTTTATATTTAAGTCATTTCTTTATTAGTTAATAGTATTACAATGTGGCGTCTAAATGTGATCAAAAACCAAGCATGTTAACTAATTAAAAATATAAATTTTTAAATATCTCTCTAACAAATAATGAACTTTTTACAAATGCTACTAATGTTTCGCAGATATTTATCACATCACAATATAAGTTAAAATTTCTTTACTCTTTGACTAGCAGATTATATTCGATAAGCATTAAAATAAATCTATGTTCAATTATCGCTTTTCTTGAAGAGCTTACTCACGTTTCAATATTGTATTCGTTGTGGAATCACAATCCAATTTTTAAAATATTATATTTTTCCCGCAAGTCTTCTAAACTATCCGATTTGCTACGTCACACGTACGAAACATGACTACATTAATGTAATCAGTGTCATTTACATCATCCAGTCTGCCAAATTCAAACCTCAAGATAAACTTTCAATTCTTCAGTTCATTCTATTAGACTACGAGAACTTTCAATGAAATCAACTTTAAATTGCCATGATGACTCTGACTCCAAAGGTGATTCAAATAACAAATACTCGTTAAATAACTGAATATCTCAAACATTTTCGAAACTCCTAAAGGATCAAAATTACCTTTTCGAGTGCTCGCCAATATTTCCCAAAACTCAAGAGATATTTGAGTAATATTTCAATCATTCAAATTTTTCTATTCACTGACGTAATAAAACACTGAGCAGCTTTTCTTCTCCTTCCAGCAATTCTGTAGTTGCCTCTTGGCAGATCTTTCAAATAACAGGACTCGCGACATATAATTATTTATTTAGATAAAATGTTCCAGCAAATAAATTGCATCACTGTTTTTTTTTCTTTTAAACTAATAGAACAGTTAAAAGTGTTTCATTAAACATATCAATTAATCTATTAATCCTTTAAAGAAGGCAGTTAAATGCAAATTTGTGAAAATATTGTCGAAAATAATAATAAAGGTTTTCGGACAACAAATTGGTTTCAATGCAGCTTTTATTCCCTTTTAGTTACCAAGACCCTGAGCTTTTTATGTTTGCTTTTATTCTATCACGACAATCTTCATAATTTCAAGAAATTTTAGTTTCGTTTGAATCTGTCGCTGTCATGTGTGCCTTGCGTTAGACACTTCCATGTTCACAGTCTTCCAGTGCCCTTGTTTAGGTTTAGACTGACTCTAGTCGCTCATTTCTATTCTATAAATTTTGACTTGTATGAACGGTCGGTTGGTCAACAGTCATGACATCTGTCTCTTGTAAACATAGTAAATAAAGTAAGAATCATACGTAAGCTCAAAGAGCATAAACAATATGCTTAGTAAAACCAGGCCTGGACGACAAGACTTAACGCGCATACGAAAGTTTCTTCTATGCCACCTTTCTTAATAATAAATAAGTATAAATCTAATCTAAAAGAAATATTCATGAAAATGTTTATGGCGCATTAATGGCTGGCTCGAAATATCGTACTTGAATAATGTAGAAACGATGGACGTCATGGAGGAGCATGGAAGACAATGCAGCAGTGGCCCTCAGATTAATGAACTACGAATTAGATGGGGAACCCCACAAGATAAATCCATTTTATTCTCTTACAATGTTCTAACCGTATTCCAATGAAATGAATGTAACAAAAAATGTGATAATGAACTGAAAAAAATATGCAGTCACTGGGTTCACTCCTTGTAATTACTTCTGCTGGCGCCTCTGCCCATGTATATTCATATCTCCTTTACTTTTTAAATCTATTTTAACATTATTTCAATACAATTGCATATTTTTCGTGAGTAATGTTTATTTTCTGCTTGAATGCATTTTTGTATTTTCGATGCTCTTACATTGCAAACCTGAATAAACTCCAATAAATTGTTACCGTTTGATTCAGACATTCAAAAGTAATGATTACGTTTGTATATAATTTATTTACTTACATTTATTCAGTAAACAGTAAAAACTGTATGTGACATATGGGGAGAAGATAATTTGCGCACATTTATAATGCACTTACAGCTAATTGCATTTTTATCTCACACGATGCCTCTGGTAAACACTTTCTCCCTGGAAAACACATTTAAATATTTATAATGTGCAATGTAATAAGTGTCAGCATTCATATAGTGACCATAAAAGCATATCATAATTAATCTTTTTATTATTTTTTTAAATTAAAAGTTATAGGAATGTCGATAAATTAAACCTCTGTCAAATGATTGCTATGTAGCTCCTTACAATCTTTTGCCGGAATATATACACATCTTGAAAATAAATAAACCATAAATGTTTAACCAATAATATGATCAAAAATGTAATGGACAATAGAGCAACTTGAAATAGAATATCAAACTATCCATTTGCCAAGTCTTAAGTGAATAAGATAACCACTGGGAGACCTTTTCAGCATAATTTTGATCTTGCAAATAGGTAAGTCATTTTTCCAATGAAAATTCTTTGTAATTCACTGAAATAATCAATTAAAATGTAAATACAACCAATAAAGAAAACGACCAATACCAAAACTAAGGATAAGTCAATGACTTATCTACAAAACCGGTGGCCAATGGTATGTATCCTAAAATATAGTTTTTACTAATTTTCAATGGTTAAGAAAGTCACACAAAATATCAACAAAACACATTATAAATAAATATAAACCAACAAATAAAAATAGATTTTAAATTATAGTGTATGGAAAGATTTTTTGAAACCATCAAGGTGGCAGAACTATACACCAATGGAAAAACTTCCCCTCAGAAAAATTCTGGTTCCACCAAACACCAATATTAATTAATATTAATTGAGAATTTTTATTTTTGTAATTCTGCCAGATTTACTATACTTATATAGTTTCTTTCTAATGCTAAAAGCAACCATCTTTTACTGCAATAAAATTATTTATTTCAATAACTAATTCAATTCTTTATAAAATAAAAGCAATCAGTATATCTCATTGCTATCAACATGCTTTAAATATGCATAATAAAATACACATAAAGTGTAGAAAAACTGCTCAAGTGTCGCACATTAGTTCAAATTCTATCGGGTAATTAGGTACATTTTAAAGTATTAATTCCCAAAAAGAAACATCCAATATTTAAAAGCAATCAAATAATCTGAATTAACCACTTGTAGAATACACATTTTACCTTATCACACTACCACTTTTTTTATGAATTAAAAATGGTTAAATTTCATTCTGGTACAAATAATTGTTTACAGCTTCATTTCAATTATATTCTACACTAAAAACACCATCAGAAAATATATTCAAATTCAAGACATGTTGAATGCGGAATTAATAACACCATATGACTGATAGAAAAAATTAAAAACCTATATAAAGTTTTATAAAACAATTTTCTGAGAAAAAAAGAAAGAAAAAACTTTAAATAGGTAATGCTCTACATATCTGCATTCCAAGTATTGTTTTAATGTTCCAGTAACCCAATTCAGATAGGGTTTACAGATAAATACTTAAATTTAATAATTTTGTTTAGAAAATATTTGGATGGTACACTATTAACAGAGTGTTCAGAAATAGTTAGGATGATACAGAAAACAGGCACATGTTGCACTTCTGCACCATAGTACATTTCCAACATTCTACAACATCATACAACGTTTTCACACTGTTTAATGTTAAGTAAATAAAAGTTTGTTTTCTTTTAATTAAAAAATCTTGGACGGAGCGCAAACCTGGGCCCGCCATCCGCCTTGCGATCGACAGACCTTCGACCGCTAGGCAACTTACGCGCATTCTGTCCATCTCGATTCAAACTAATATCCGTACACATACTTCATAAATCCGCCACTAGAGTGCACTGAGAACGTATCGACCACGCAAAATAATGTAAAATCCGCTCCTTGAGAAGTAGTTCTCGAAGGAATATACACGAAAATAAAACAATACACCCGCGTAAAACCTCACGGAGCCAGTGTCATCATGGCATATAAGTTTCTGGATTAAAAAAGGATAAGGCTTTCTTTTGCAGGACACGATCGCCCGATGTTGTGGTTTCCGGAGCCTCAAGGGCGGGCGAGCCCGGAGACCTTACTCAATCCTATCCCGCTCTGCTCAACGGACCGTCGGCTCCAACAGCTGCGCGGGGGGCAGCGGCAGCGGCGCGGGGCCGGACAGCACGGACTACTCGGGCAATTCGACCCGCGAGGAGAGCGTCGCGGCTGGCGGTCGAGCTGCTCTGAAGTCGACTTCCTCCACGGACACCATTTCCAAGCTGCCGGTGAGGACGCGCGAGGCGAACCTGCGGTGGCGGACTCTTAGAGATTACCATTCGAAGGGACTGTTGGGCCACAGCTGGCAACATAACTGCAGGTCCATTCACTCATTTTAATATAGCTTTCGATTACAGTGAGCTCATCGCTTCCTCTTGCTATGTCATTGCCCTGTTCCGGGAGAGACGGCTTAGGGTACCAACTAGTGTCACTGCAGTCCCTCTGAACGGGAGGCCCTAGGTCCAAATCCCGACGGTGGCATGATTTTCGACACTAGCTTGTTAGCTATGGCGAATGCAGTCGCTGTCTGGAGGATAATTCTTGGGGCCGGCTGCACTGATCGGTAGTTTTCCATGGTTTCTCCGATTTACACCAGGCGAAAGCCGGAGCAGTACCCTAACAAACGGACCACGGACCGCACGCTATCTTTCCTACCTCTTCCTTGTCCCCCTTCCTGTCTCCTTACACACACACTAACACGCACGAGCACAAGCGCACATACCGGGAGACCGGTCGGGAACTTAATGCCCCGCTGTTACATACCTGGTTGGAGAAAACTCCGCTAGCCGAATGTAGATCGGCGCCAGATCTCGCCATACAGTGGAGGAAATATCACCGC